GCAGCAATTACAAATACCCTTATTATTTTGCCCCCAAAGATCATGTTCTGAGTGCTTTTTCCTGCCCTTCTCTTCAGTAGGAAGAGACAGGAAGAAGCATGGGGACCCCTTGGTTTTCCAGAGAGCTGTGACCAGGTTAAGTCTGCTCTGGGAATTCACAGTTTGTCTGCATAAACTGTAACATATCACACTACGATTCAAAGTTCTAGTTTATAACATAAGGGCCACTTAGCAGTGACTTGAATAGATGGGATTGCACAGAAGAGCTCTTGACTTCTCTGTGTACATTCTTTCAGGAGTGACTCCTTTCCCAGTGTCAAGTGTCTCTTTCTGTCTCTCACTCTGTAATGAGTTAAGAAAGGGGGGGGGGACCCTTTCTTAATGGGGAACCCTCCCCATTTTTCCTTTAGTGAGCTCCAGCAGCTACAGTGTCTGTCAATCCTCCTCCCCCCTATGTAACCTGAAATGAAAATTCCCACGGTTTCTTTTTCTTCTCATGGGTGCTCTAAGTTTCATTTCCAACCAGGTGCAGACTCTTCTGAATTCAAGTGTACCGGGGCATCTCACACTGCTCACAACGATTTAGTGCTGGGTGGTTCAGAAAGGTACAGCTGTCACAATTCCATGGGGCCCCTTCATAGTCTTCATCTTGGGGATGTGTCCGAGGACTCTGTCTGGAGCCAGGTAGATGCTCTGAGGGAAGTTAGGATTGAAAGAAACAAGAGATTGAGATTCTTTTCAAGTATGACCCAAACTGAAATTAAAAACTACCCCCCCACCACCAAAAAAAAGCTAGGTAAGGTAGGAAACTACCTCCCTTACGTGAAAGCCAGTTAGTAGACATATCTATCAGAAATGCATAGCCAAACAGGAAGTGTATGATACATATTTCTTCAAAGTCTACTAGCACTGATTACCTTCCTAGTTCATTATCCATAGACAGCAGATAGTTCAAATGAAAAAATTGAGAAACGTTATATAGCATGTTAAATTCTGCCTCCTGCCATCTTCAGCCAACCATGACATCCCCCACACAGTACCTGCCACACAGTATTAAACATCTTGATTAAACGTATGCTTTCTTCCAGAAGACCTTCAGTTCCACAAAATGCATATGTTTAATTATATAGAAGATTGTCTTTTATTCTCAGATTCTTTCCTATCTTTTTGATATTGAAATGGCCTTCAGATATTAGGTTTTTTAAATGTCTATACCTGGCAATATAAAATATTGGTAACCTTATGTTGGTCCTAAGGATTTTAATTTTTAAAAAAACCTTGAAACTTAGTCCTCTTAGGTCCTCATTCTCTCTGGCCTTGCACTCAAAAAGGCTATCTGCTTCTAGAACTAATTTGTAAATCTTGCCTTTTAGGAACAGTCCCTAGTGAAAATGGGGTCAGTGACTGGAACGCTAAAAAGCTCTCCTGTTCGAAATTCACCTTGGAATCAGGCGCAAGGTCAGTAAGCTGGGAAAATCTACCTGTAAAACTGGAAAATCTTCACTGTGAACTGGAAATGAGATCACAATCTAAGGTAAGCAGCCCTCCTAAGCAGGTAACAAAAGAAACTGAGATCTGAGGAGGCTTTTATCAGTTACCATTTGGGGTTAAGCATATTTTCCATTGGAAGTTAATGAGCTGACTGGTTTATCAATTTGTCTTTCATGACAAATGGCCGGTGTGAACATTCCCTAAGAGGTAAAGAGAACTGAGTGTTAGAGCCCAGAGCCAGAGCCTTAGCGCAGTCTGGCTCTGGCTCTGGCTCACATGGGAAGGTGATCACAGCCTCACGACAACAAAAAACCAACCACTGGGTTCTCCAGATTCTTCCTGTGATTATAAAAAGGAGATGGGCTTGTTTCTCTGGCTTCAACTGCTGCTTTTAACTGTGATTATCACCCATCTCCTATCTTTTGGCTCATGAATCTAAAACATGTAGACTTAATAGTTTTCTTTTTTGTCTCATATGGAGGAATAGAAAACACAAATGTTCTATATGCCATTTCCAGAAATGGTCCTCTCTGGTATAGTAAGCTTTTAAAAGAATAAAATACTTTCTTAGGGTAGGTGACTATTTATTTCATGAAGCATTTATCATAGAGTGAAAAAATTTAAGATGTTAAAACCCTTAAAATGTTATTTATATCTATCTTTCTATGCTAATTCCAAACACAGCCTTCAATTTTAGATTGTGACTGCAAATGTTTAACATTAAAGGTTTTCCAAACTCTCCTTTTTTCTAAACTGAAAAACCTCTTTTAACCTAACTAATTCAGAATACTTGGGGACTCTTTCTTATTCACTGTTTCACACTGTAAGGAAGGAAAAAGCAATTCCCCTCTACCCTTCTGAGTTCTTAGCTAAGACACCCCCACCCCCTTGTAATAAAAGACATTAACAGGACAAAATCAAGCAGTTAAATAACATGTATACCTCCTGTAATACAACGGAGAGACCCAGGAAAACAGTAAATACCTAAATGGCCCAAGCCACCACCTAAAATACCACCTCCAGCTAAAGACAAAAGAAAGATGTTAGAGCGGGGGGATCCACCTATGGGAAGCTTATAAAAAAAAAAAAAAAAAGCACAGTAAATAAGGGTAAGGTTTGTTATGTAAATTTAAGTAGTTTCCTTTCTCCATTGCTAAGATTCTCTGGAGGTTCAGAGTCACAACACTCTCTGGTACCAGGGAAGGCTCCCTTACAAATGGAGATTGCCTTTATAAATGTAAATGTCCCTTACAAAAGTGTAACTTCTACTGTGTTTTCAGAGCTTCCCTTGCATCAGCCTGTTTCTTCGAAGTAATCCTAATACATCCTAATACCAAAGAGGCAATACTACTCCTCAGTACTATAACAACTGAATTTGGAAACAGAAATCACTCTGAAGTTACTTATCAAAAAAGATATTTAAAAGGCACCTATATAAAATTATTGTATAATTGTTGGTCCTAAAAAAAGACCGCTCATTTCATCACAGAGAAGTACTAAAACACCAAAGACATTTTAGATGTCTATTTTCATTTGATTTACAGGTGTGAAATCTTTTTATGGAATCTTTAAAAATTAAGGTATTTTAGGCCTCATGGAAAATAAAAATATGCGTATTTATACACAAAAACTGAATAGCTTTTTCCTTTGATAGGCTGTTTTCATAAAATATAATTAGAATATATGAGACAAAATGCTCAAAAGGATGCAACAAAAATTTTCAAAAATTTAAAATTTTCTACATAGTTTCAAAGATAGCTTTTCAATAACGGGAAATATGCCAGTGGTAAAGGAGAATTTGTTTTTTAAATATATGAAGTGTGATGTAGTTTCATGCTTGGTTTGTTCTAAAGTAGAATAGTTGTACAAACTCAAACATGTACAGTAGTATTTTTAGAAACCTTATCTTAGATTACAGATAAAGTTCAAGAAGCATTAGGAAACTTCAGTGAGAAGTTATAAAGCCCAGAGCTTTCAAGTTATTTTTTTATTTACTTGGCCTTGCTTTCTAGTTACTATTATCTTAGAGCAATGTGTCCAATATTATGGTGGCCACTCTGAATTGAGATGTGCTTAAGTGTAAAACATACACCAGATTTTGAAGATTTAGTATGAAATAAAAAATGTAAAATATCTCACAAGAATTTTATATTGATCTCATATTGAAATACCACCATGTATATACTAGATTAAATACATCAAACTTGATTGATTTATTTATTTTCTATTGGACAGTACGGGCTTAGAAACTCAGTAAAAGAGTAATTTTTTAAAGTAAAAAGTTGGTCTTAATAACTCCACACGGGTTAACACGTGTCTTTGGACACTCCGAACACACAAGTACAAACCATCTGCAGTTGCTGCCTGGGCATCACAGACATCCGCCTGTATTTTTGAGGTCATACTAATTCTTCGGGCTTTCCTCTCAATTGTGCAGAGGTCTGTTGAGTCTGCACGAGAAGAAGCAAAGCCAGGTAGAAGGGATCAAGCCATTCATTTAGAACAGGGCATGGGCTCACAAAAATCTCTCATGGGACATGCACAGTTGACTGTTCTGTGAGGGCAAGTGTCATAATTAATACTGCTCTTACAACTTTTCCCATCCTCTCCAATTACTTAGAATAAATGCCTTGTTTTACCAGTTTCCCACTTTCTAGGGCTTAGGTGAGACACTAAATAACTAAATGTCTGTGTGAGAGCAAAATTTGGGAGATTATATTTTAGCAATTCTCTAATTAAGCAGTATAGTTAATAGAAAATTATGGGTTGAAAGTATACTACCCATAAGGCTAATGAATAAACCCATTACAATAATAACATTAGTTAACTATTAGCATTTTATAATTTAGAACAAGAACTATCTGATAATACATACTCCCCAATCATTTCATAGATTCAAGTTATCTACACTCTCTAACATGGACTGCAGGCATCCCAATTTCTTGCTAGAATATTGTGTCTATTAATTTATAGGTTATTAGTTAAGTAGCCTTTTGTAGTAAGTAAAAACAAACAAAAAAAGGATGGCAGACTTACATATTATTTGCCCTTAAAAATCAAAAAAAAAAAAAAAAAATCTTGCTTTTTCTAATCAGTCCTAAGCCCACAAGCCAGTCCCCTGGTACAAACCCCCTTTGGAAATCAGTGCTCCAGAATCCCCCGTGCAGTGCTCAGGCACTAAAGCACTCCATTACCAGAGTAAGCGTCTCCACGGAAAGGTAAAGTTCTCAGATTTGTAAAGCACTTGGTAAGTGTGCATACATACCTCCTCTCGCTGACCCTTACACAGCTTCTGTATTTTCCAGGCCTGATCACCTCTCTGGTACACACACTGAATCTGAACAAGGTCAAGTGGCCAAGACAACCAGGACCAGTGCTCTAGTCATGGGACACCAAGGTTAGTGCTCTCACCACTTTATCAATGATGGGCCACTGAGAGGAACTTACATTCACACTGTATTATTTAACTGCTAAATTCAGGGCAAAAAGGTTTCTTTGTCTCCCTTTCTGTCTTTCATTCAGATTACTGTCTATATTCCACTTGGATTTCTAGCATGTAACTAATAACCCCAAAACATCTATTCTGTTATTTACATTTTTTACTTATTTACTTTTTTTCCCCTATGTGGGATGGTTGATCTTGAGCCTGCAAGGAGCAAGCTGGCCCCAGACTTCTCCAAGTCCATATTTCTTTGCCTCCAATTCTTACGTGTCCAAAGACGGGAAACCACAGACACGCCTTTGTAGGAGGGTTTTACTTGCTTTTTAAATTTAAGTGGTACTGCAAGAGAATTTAATGCAAAAAAGGTTTTTGCAATAACTAGATACACTTTAAAAAAAAAAAAACTAAAAGAGAATCTGTTTTCAAACTTGACTTCATAGAAAAAACAAAGAGCTTTTATAAATCTGTTATAAAGTCCTATTATTTATAAGTTTTAATAGAAAAAGGTGAAAGGTTTAAAAACTATAGGGTATATGTAACAGTACCATTTTAGACTCTCACCAATATAATTTGATTTCTAAAATAGAAATCCACTTATAGTGAAGACGTTACTTTAGATGGCTTTCTCGTCTACTTTTTATTAAAGCTGTATATGTAGAGTATCAGTTGCTTGGGACAGGAGTCATGTCTTACCTTTGTAGCATCAAACATCTATATAACCATTTACCTATTGAGAATTTGATACATAGTAAGAAATTATAATTGGAATCCCAGTACGACTAATTCTAAGGGGCTATCCGATATCAATTTTAGCAAATTTTGTTAGAATTAAAAGTGCCATGGAAAAGAGCCTTTATACTTATTTTAAAAGGTACTTGTAGGAAACTATGTATGTGAAGCTTGACATTAGTGCAAGCCATACTACACAATTCCAAGCTGAGAAGTATACCAAACAGGAACTTCCTACTTCAAATACATGATGTTGGTCTCCAAGACAGAAGACAGAATGACATGTCCACAACATTAATATCACCACTGCTAAAATAATCTGAGTATATGGGCTCTTGGCAGCTGATCTATCACATTACTTCAAAAAACTTTCATTTCTTTGTGACTTATTGAGGTAAAATTTATACAATGAAATACAGAAACCTTAAATTTACCATTATGAGTTTTAACAAATGCACATACACCTGGATAATCCAAATCCCTACACCAAGTCTTAGAACATTATCATTAGCCCAGAAAATCTACCCATGCCCTTTTCCTTGTATTTGATTTTTCATTCCGCATTATGTTGTTGAGATTCATGTATCAGTAGTTCAGTTTCGTTGCTGAGCAGTATTCCATGGTATGAATATATCAGTCTGTTTAACTGTTCACCTGTTGATGGACACCTGGGCTATTTCCAGTTTTGGGGTTATTATGAATAAAAATAGAATTAATCTTCTAATACAAGTCATTTGGTAGACATATGCTTAGATATACCTGATGGGCTATTAGGGCAACTGAATCATTTTATAAGAAATGACCAGACCATTTTAAAAAACTTGGGGATCTAGCTATTTTGGTAAGTGTGTGATGGTATCTCAGGGTTTTAATTTGCATTTCCCTAATGTCTGCTACTCAAGTTGAGCATTTTCATGTGCTTATTGGCCATTTATATATATTCCTTTCTAAAGTGTTCAAATGTTTTGCCCTTTTTTTTGTAACTGGGCTATCTTTTTATTGTCACAGACTTTCTTTATATATATTCTCAATATCAGTTCTTTAATTGATACATGTTTTGCAAATATTTCCTTCCAGTCTGTGGCTTGCTTTGTCACTTAAATAGTGTCTCTTGATGAGAAGTGTTCAATGAAGGCTAATTTAACAATTTTTTTCATTGCTTCCTGTGTCTAAAAATCTTTGAAGATATTCTATGTTTTATTCTGGAAGCTTTATATTTATCTCTTATACTTAGGTACCTATCTCAAATTGTTGTGTATAGTGTGAAATAAGGATTAAAATTTGTTTTTTTCCAATATGGATATCCAGTTCTTCCAGGACTGGTTGTTGAAAAGACTTTCCTTTTTCCACTGGTTGCTCTGGTGCTTTTGTCAAAAATCAACTGGCGGTGTAAGTGAGGGTCTATGTCTGGGCTCTCCATTCTGTTACAATTACCCATTTTTTTTTTTTAATCCCTATGCCACACTGATCACTGTAGCTTTACAGTAAGTCCTAAAGTTGGTTAGCATAATACTTTCAACTTCTGCTCTTTTTTGAGATTGTTTATTCTGAGTCTTCTGCATTTCCATATGAATTTCAAAAAAAGAAAAGCCTATAGTGGAATACAATTGGTATTACATTTTATCTACAAATCAACATAAGGATACCTTATACAGCAACATAAGAAGAATAGATAATATGGATCTAATTAAAAATTACTTAATTTATTTAGGTCTTTAGTTCCAATGCACACAATAAAAAATTGTATTATAATTCTTTTTAATTTCAATTTCCAATTATTTGCTAATAAATAAAAATGTGGTTTTTGTACACTGACCTTACATCCCAAGACCTTGTTAAATTCATTTTAGTTCTAATAGTTGTTTTTTTAGTACCCTTAGATTTTCTTTGCAAATAATTATGTCATCTAGAATCACTGCTGAATTCTGTCAGATGCTTTTTCGTCAACTGCATCTAGTGAAATGATCATATGCTTTTTCTCCTTTAATACTGCATTCTTGAGCTAAATCCAACCTGGTCATGATGTATTATATTTTTTATATATTGTAAATATTTGATTTTAAAGGATTTTTTTTTTTGCCTTTATGTTCACAAGTGCTATTGATCTGTTGGGATGGGTAGGTTTTGGAATCAGGGTTCCGCTGGCTCCATTAAAAAAAATTTGGGATGCTTTCCTTCCTTCTCTATTTTCTCAAAGAGTATGTATAAGACTGGTATTATCCTTTTTTTAATTCACCCAACAGTGCAACCATATGGGTCTGGAATTTTCTTTCTGGGAAAATTTTTGATAATATTAAATTTCTTTAATATACAGCTATTATTTCCTATTTCATCTTGTTTTCAGTTTTTGTAGGTTACATTTTTCAAGGAATTTCATCTAGGGTTTCGAGTTAATTGGCAGGCATATAGCTGTTCATCACATTCCCTTATTATTTTAATGGATAAACCATCTTTCATTTCTGATTTTGGTAATTTGTGATTCTTTTTTCTAGATCAGTTAGCCTACAGATTTTATTGATTATTATCTTTCAAAGATGAAACTTTTGGCTTTATTTCTGTTTTCTGTCTCATTGACTTATCTTTCCTTTCTGCTACTAACTTCGTTGTTTTTTGTTGTTGTTGTTGTTGTTGTTGTTGTTGTTGTTTTTGATAGTTTCTTAAGGTGGAATTTTAGGTCATTGATTTTAAGATATTCTTTTCTTATGCCAGCATTTAAAGCTATAAATTAACTTCTAAGCATTGCTTTAACTATTGTGTAGCAAAGAATTTGACCTTGCCCAAAGAAAGAGGTCTAGCTTTGTCCCCAGCTCCTGTGAGATAACTTCTAAAATCCTGAAATTTTCCAAGTGATGGAAGTGTCTTTGTTACTTATGGTGAGCCCTTCAGAGTTTATGATAATGAAGTAATTCATGGTTGACATACTGTCCACTATTTCTTATCAACTTGGTCCTTTGTTCTCAGGTTAGCAACTTTTTAATGCACTCCCTTAAATAGGGTGATTCTTTCATGACAGCCTTTGAATCAATTAACTGAAATTTATCTGGTAGATTACCAGTAGGTAATGCTCCCTTAATAGATGCTCAAGCAAAATCAAGTTTAAAGGCTTGTATATTATTAATCCAAATGGTTAAAGTGATCAATAATATGTAACCCAGTGACTTTCAGATTGAAACTGTATATAATGTTGCCACAGTGCCAAACCTGGTACTTGGCAGTCATCAGCTAAGATTCTCCTTTGTACCATTTTTAGAAATCAGTAGGCTATTTTAAATACAGATCAGATGAAACATCCACAGTAGTATCAAACAATAAAAAAGAACAGATGGGTGTGTTGCAACCTATAAATGAAATACTTAAAACAACTAAAACTTAAGAAATTTAGGTCAAGTAACATTATTTAGATAGAATTTATACATTCTCTGATTATTAAAACCCTTAGATAATTTTTTTTTTTTTTAAAGTAAGGCATTCTCCATTCTTGGATATATCTTCACGATCAATCAATCTATTTTGAGTTGCTTGCCTTAAGGATTAAGATCTGAAATGCATTTTTTAACTCAGTCTTGAGAATTAAAACAACATGGGACATTAATAAGAATGGGGCAGAAAAAGTTTAAATTCAAAAACTCAAATTTAAACTTCTCGTATATAAAAATAAGAGATTTAATCCCTTTAATATTACACAGGAATGATTTAACAATGATCCAATAGTGATTCCTCCAAATCTTGGATTTATGTTAAAATCTAACTGTTATGCTCACCTGTTGAGTACACAAGGATTCTTTTGTAGCCTGGCAATTAAATAACATACCGACTACAGATCGAACTTCCATTCCAGTATAATACCTTTAAAATTCTCATTATCTTGTAAGAACTGTCTCTTAGGATTATAGCTTTTACAGTGCTGGCTAAATTTATAATTATATAATAATATACTATTTCTATTTAAAAAGTTATAATTTAGTGCTTTTTAATGGCATTTTATTATCGCCACAATAACATCATTTGGTAACTTTTTTATTCATTTACTTGAATAACGAATATTCATTATTTAAGTAAATGAATATCTCTAATAGAAATTTCTTCAGCTATAAATGTGAACTCCAAAAGAATTTTCATATTTATTTCTATGATGTTTGTGACATTTCCCTACTCACCTTTTTTAGATGGCTTGGGTGGTACCACTGGGCCAGGTTCTATGTTGTCATAAAAATTATTCATGGCTTTAGGATCAAAGTTTCCTATAAAAAAAATAAAATCACCAGATATTTAGGGCTCGCTCTCCTGTTATTTGAAATTTTTGTTAAGGAAAATATGGGAAAAAAACATGTAAGAAGAGAAACTGTTTTCCAAGGTTTCAAAACTCATTAAATATCCTACCCTCTTCCCAGTGAAATTGATTTATTGTTGTGAGAAAAGACCCAAGCAAACTACCACGCCCGTGTTTGTCTACAGTGTTCACCTACAGGAATATTTTTCTAACTGTAAAGCTAGTCTCTCTAGACAGGATTAAGCATGTGGCGCATTTAGGGAGGTAAATGAAAGAGAGCAATGAAAGGATGGCTGAACTGTTTTTCTGTTCTGATTTTAATGAACCATGAGAAGAAGATTTTATCTCTTATAAAGATTAATCAAATTATGATAGCAGCAGCTCATGGATTCCTATCTTCAAGACAAGGAGAATTTTTAAAATGCTGCCTATAGACTTATCATTGATCAAAGATGATACAGTGCCATTTCAGAACAATAGAACAATCCCTGAGAATTTTGTCTCCCCAAAAAATTTTCAGATCTAAAATGTTCACTCCCTGATCTAATGTGTATTTCAGCCCCATCTCCTGCCATGACTCCTCCAAAGTCAGTTTTGATCCAGTGCCAGCTTTGGGTCCTACCTTCACTTCTGTGAACCTATCACTGCAACCTACTTGTTCTGCACATAATTCCAGTTAAGCTTTTTAACCGTACCCATGCTCATTTACAGAGGATGCTATATGGTACTGATAATTCAAATATATTGCCTGATTTTTTTTCCCAACAAGTTTTCCCCACGAAAACCAACAGTAACGTTGCTTTTCATCAAATCATGCACTGATTTGCAACTAGTCTAAATGTCCCCAAAAATGTCTAATTTCATTTTTTAAAAGTTCAGATTGGAAATTTACATAAAAATTTTCCAGAGCATGAAAGAGTAGAATTTAGTATAAAATGGATACATTTGAACCCCTTATGAAAGGAGATTTAGAAATGCTTAAGCACCAAAAAGAGCTCTTTGTTGCTCAATGGAGACCAAAACCACAGCTCTTCACTTATAAAATCTTAACAGTGGTTTCCCTTGCAGGTCCTACTACAAATGCTTTTATCCATTTGGATATGCTATTTTAAGATAATTTCCTGAAAATAACTCCTATGATGGTTCATGAAAGCCACAATGCTATTTGATATATTAATTGGATCTTTTTTATGCTTTTAAGATGCTGTATATGTATTTCTTCAATTACTTAAGTTATAGCTCACATTCTAATTTCTAAACCCATAAGGCTTACTATAAATATCCTAACCAAATGTTTGTTTCTTGTTTTGCTTCAAAGAACACAAGCAAAAAAAACTGATGCACTCTTCTAATACAGCAGCAGTACTTTGTATAACCCCCACATTATGAACAGCAATTCTTTCTACAGCCCACTAGCTTTAAGCAATGAAAGAATTACTGTGACTAGGCTTCTGAAAATAATTTTAAGGGCACATAACTAGACTGTTCAACTTTCACATTCAAATTTGCTTCTATTGTTCCAGACAGTTCCATCTTTTGGGTTCCCCTGCTTCCACTGTAACTTTGCCTAAAAATGGCAATGGGGCACTTTATTATATACTCCCCAAATACAGTAGAAGCTCTCTTAAGAACAGTAAGAGGAGGGCTGATTAAAACATAGGATTGTTAATAAAAATTACACATCAACTTTAACAAAGCAGTTAAACATAGCAGTATTTTAATGTTGGATCAAGACCCTTTCTTTAGGTTGTCTATTGAATAAAGGTTCTATATAGTCTTATATTAACTACACCCGTGATGACCTAAAGTGAGATAGGCAAACTTTTTCTGTAAAGGGCCACATAATAAACATTTTAGGCGCTATGAATAAGTCTCTGTTGGAAGCCCTCAACTGTGCTGAAGCACAAAAGCAGCCCAAGACAACATATAAACAAATGGGCGTGGCTACATTCCACTAAAACTTTATTTTAAAAAACAGACAGCTGGCTAGTTTGCTGAACCCTGATCTATAATTTCCTGTTTTGATTTTGTTAGAATGGAGCAATAAAGATACCTTTAAGAACATTTATTTTGAAGATAGAATCCTCTTAGATTTTGATGATTTCCTCCCTTAATCCTTTTCAGTTGTTTTCATCCATATGTAATTCAGCCCCTATTTGATTTACCTGAGTGTTTAAAAAGCATTTCCCTTTGGTTTTTACAGTAGTATAGTAACTGGCACAAGCAGGTTTGGGAACAGGACTGACTCTTGGTAAGCAGACAATTCCACTGATTGGAGCAAAGGTATATGGATGTGCCAGGATGTGGCCTGTCACAGGTGTGCAGCATCTGTGGGCTTGGTCAGTATATTTTACAGAGAAAATGAAGAACATCTCTAACCTGACGAGTTGGGTAAATGAAAGTTAGTTAAGAGAGCTTCTACTGTATGTAGTACACTTCTATAAGAAAGCCAACCCCTCACCTCACCCCTAAAACTCTAAGATATAGTTGGATATTTTCATGTAACAGATAACATAATGGTATATGGAATTTACTTTAAAACTGAGAAATATGATATTCTGATTTGAGATTCCTACTTTAAAAAATATTTTAGGTGACTATCATATAATATAATCTACTAAGCTTTAGAATTAAAACCCATCAACTTATAAAATATTTACAGTAAATGACTAAGAGGATAAACGCAGAGAAACAACATAGAATAGTGATAAGAACTTGATGAAATTGCCAATGTAAAAACTATTTTTAATCCCCCATATATATCTGCTCTATCTAGAACCATATGGGGGTGAAGGGATCTGTTTACCAGGATTGCAATCTTATAATGGATAAAAACTCTCTTAAATATGTAAAACCAAAATGATAGCTATTTAAGCAGCTTAAAACACCACACTATTACTTATGGTTTACCAAATAATCAAGTCTATACCTCTAGATTGAAGGAGGTCAACTTCTTTCAGTGTACAGTCAACATTTATCTGGAGTTGTCTGTTCATGCTTCTCAATCTTGTCATTTCCTCAGGCTAGTAAGAAAGGACCCAAAATAGCAATTGTGGGAAAGTCATTATCAAGCCCAACATTTAAGAACTGCTATTCATGTTAATTGTTCTGATTGTTTATTAGCAAAAATATGGCCTTAGTCCATAAGAGGGCATGTTTAAGAAGTCCTATATATGTTTTTCAAGGAATAGTCCAGTAAAATGGGGCATCGATATGGCCACATATAAACAAAAATCTGCACATAATGTGGCACGGTACAATACTAGACTGTTCTACCATACAAAACACTACCATTGTTATCACAAAACACTGAGAATATTTTATTTCTATGTATTTATGGTAAGGGACAAATATCAACCTTTTAAACAAGCAACACCCATGCTTTTAGTCTTGTCCAGGATGATAAAAATTATAACAGTACTAGTTTTAATTAACACTGAGTGGCAGGCACTGTGTTTACCAGAATTCTCATTCTTTCTCAAAACAATCTCTCAAGAAAGTACTAATATCACCCCGAATTTATACATGAGGAAGCTAAGGCACAAGTTATATAGTTTTCCCAAGGTCATAAAAGCTGGTAATTTAAAGAGCCAGAATTCATATAGAACTCTTTTATATAAACTTACATAGAAATCTTTTTTTGTGTTCATTTGAGGTCAACAAAGGCAATTAATATAGTATATGAAATTTTCAGGAACAGACTCTTCTTCCTCCATCTTTGTTTCCTTTTGCCTTGACCTTTCCAGCGCAACCTACACCTTAAGTCTTTTGGGGGCATACATGAAACATAAAATGTGAAGAGAGCCCTATTCTTCCGTTAAATAAAGCTTTCGGAAGCCTTTACTTTCTCAACATTCTAAATTCCTTTACTATTTTACATATATGTACATTAAAAAATAAAATGAGGGTTTAGACTCCAGAGGCACGGGGTACTAAAGCTTTTAGCACTGCCTTAACTAAATTTCTAAGGTAATTTATAAAGTAAAAGATAAAAATCTGCTATGATAGGAAGACAGAGTAAAATCCCATTGTGTTGAAAACATGTATTTTGCTAATAAAAACTGAATGTTAATAGAATGAAGAAAAATGAGCAAATATTTCAATTCACAATAATGCAAGATCTTAGGCTGTTACGAGGTATTACCAGAATAATTGAGAATGCCAACTTAAAATAAGTGCTATAACAGGCAGAATATAATAAAAGCAACAATCCCTTAGAATGCCAGAACACAAAAGTCATTTAGAAATATTTATTAGGGATTGCTTTTCTTTTCTCATTCCTATGTGTAAGCCACGTGACTTTAACATGTAAAATGCTTATACCTTGTCTACCAGGCCATATTAAAAAAACATACCTGAGCATTTATATTAAAGATAAAGCACCTGTCTGAGGTTTTCAGAGAGTGATGCTGTCTTCCTAGGAATATGTGAAAGAACCTATTTTCTTTGTAGAATTGTATTGGGAAAGCCAAGCACCTAAAGGAGCTGGATCCCTCTACATATTGGGGGGGCGGGACACGGTTCAGCCACAGTATCTCTGAATAGCTAAGTTCTGTAACTAAGTACGGAAATATTATAATACACTTTATAGTCGAGAGGCTACTACATACACATTTGCTTATAACAATAAAAAAAAAAAAGCTCTCAACAGGCTCATTTCCAAAGATGGTAGAACTACTGGAACTCACTAAACAGTTTATCTATAAGATTCTAAGCTGTTTCCGAAAAGTTACTTCCATTTATCAAAAAGTAGTTTTTCATGGAGAAGGGGTTTTAAGATTGGCTGTGAGTGATTTACAGTTGTTTGTAAAATACCAGGATTTTTATATCTGACATTGTGAAGTGAAAAATTCTAAGCTTTTGTCAAAAGGTAGCAAACACCTTATGTCAACTGTTTAAGCACTTTAAGAAGTTGTCTCACAGAGACCAAGGTCAAAGAACACTGATGTTCTTTGGTGGCTTAGCCCTAATTATGCATCTGGGACTCAAAGGTGTGGGTTAGTCCAAAAACCCAATTAGTCAGAACAAGATGAATGGGAGGAAAAACTTGGGGGAGGGGGTAATTGGCAGCTCTCTGCTTATTAAAATCTAATTTATCCTTCAAGGTATAATTTAAATTTCCCCCTCCTCCACTGAAACTGTCTCATCTTTGAACCCACCAGCAAAAAACTAACATTTCTATCTCAGAACTCTTAAAAGTACTTAATATCACTACCATTCAGCTGGCCAGCACTTCTGATTTACTGCCTTATATTATCTCTTCTCTCTCTGTCACACACACACAAATATAGGTTCATAGGCATATATACATGTATCTTTTTACATACAGATCTCTTTAACATTTTCCACAGCACTGAATACCCTTGGCAAACAGATTAGGAAAAATCATGGCAGTCATGCATCTCATGTTTCTGCCCTCCTTAGAAAGATTATTTCACTGCTCTTATTTCTGCAACTGCACACACAGCAGTGTATAAAAAATTGCATAGAAATGTGTGTGCCTAATGAGACTAGAATGCAATTTTTTATATACTGCTTGATAAGAAATTAATTTGTCTGAAAACTTGAAGGTACCAATCAATATGAGCTTAGTAGCAAATAAAAAGCTAATTCTCTATATTGCGTAATCCTGTAAGAGTGGGACAATGATAAGGATAGTCAGTTTTTGAGCACCTACAACAAGCTGGGCACTTTACATTGTCTCTTTACCTTGACAACATTAGAATGTCCCCTGTTCATAAAAAAGTACATCAACTGCAGAGAAGTTAAATATAACCAGCGAGTGCAAAGCCTATGTAGGCACTCTTTCAACTATGTCATGGGGCCTCAAATGAGCCTCTATGAACAAAAAGAGAATTCTGACTAAATGCTTTATTATCTGATTAATATCCTACATATAATATACCCTTGTGTTATGCATGTTCCTAAATTTAAAAGGAAATTACAAAATGCTTCAGATTTGTGTATGTATCTCAAGCAGATTTTTCCAATATCTTGCAACCAACCTTTATAAGAATATTTACTCTTTGTTGGGTATTATGTAATCTGTTTAATGTGCTATTATTTAATCCTAACAAAAATCCCATGAGATAGGTACTCATATTATAGATGAGAAAAGTTACTTATCCAAGGACATATGAGTGACACATAAATAACAGAAGTAGAATTCAAATTCACACCTGAATTGAGAGCTCACTGTCTTAACCATTACTGTCTCTTGGCCATGTACTTCTAATAGTCCTCCATCTTACTCTAGGCCTGGCAGCAGACATACATAGAAATCGTACACTCAAATTTCTCATCTCAAATATCACCACGTAAGCTACCCATTTCTGAAGCTGGGTGATGATGGCTCTATGGGGGTTCGTTATATTATTTTGCCTATTTTATGTATCTTTCAAATTCTCAATATAAAAAATTAAAAATTACATCCCAGGGCAGCAATTTCACTAACTTCCCTTTTTTTCTTTTTCTAAGGAAGTCTCATCGATAAAAGCTTTCATCTAAAATTTGGGGGTTTTTGAAGCACTAACCTATGCTACATTAGTTCTCTACTTCCAACAAGAAAAATAGGGCTTTATTTAGCAGGGGTTATCACACAGCAAGAGACTGCTAATCAAAGTTTATATGATTGGTTATGTTAGTGAAAATAACTTGTATGCTAAGAAAATGTTTTTATGCTCTACAAAAACCTAAAGGATTCCAAAGTGCCCAACCACCAAAGGTGGTTTCCCATGAGTTACATTTTTCAGTATCTCCCCTCATCACAGAATTCAACTGAGATGTCAAGTGAGAAAAACAGACTTACAGATAACAGAGAACAAACTGGTGATTGCCAGATGGGAGGGAGTATGGAAGACTGAGTGAAAAAAGAGAAGGAATGAAGGAGTATAAATTGGTAGTTAAAAGTCACAGGGATGTAGAGTACAGCATAGAGAATATAGTCAATAATATTAAAATAACTATGTATAGTGCCAGGTGGGTACTACTAGACTAATCGGGGGAGTCACTTCGTAAATTATATAAATGTCTAACCACGTACTGTACACGTGAAACTTTATAATACCGAATGTCAACAGATTTCAAGTGGGAAATGAGGCAGAAATATTACCTCCCAGGTGTTTTAATACTCTCCCTTCTCACTTCTAATATCTACTATACTTAGGAATTTAATCAATACTTTTCAAATTTTTAAAATTTCATTAAGTATGCACATTCCTCAATAAACTCAAAAACATCCACTGGTTCCCCATGACCAGTAAAATAAAGTTCAAATATGTCAACCGACTGTTCAAGGTCTAAGCCCCACTCTCCCTATGCACATTAACCTGTTAAGACATCAGAAATCTCAGCTTAAGCTAGGGAACTGTAATTGCTGCCTCCTGAAGGTCTTGACTTCAAGCCTTCATTACCTCATGTCTGTTTCCCTTCTAAAATGCCTCCCCTTTCCTCTCTGCCTATACGGCAACACTACACTGTTTAGGGCACTGGTTCCTCACCCTTTTTTCCTTCAATCTAATAACCTTATAAAACCTCACCCTTTTTTCCTTCAATCTAATAACCTTATAAAACTCAGACGAAAGCTATAGGCCTGCTTCCCATATAAACACATATGAAACTCTGCATATAATTTCAGGGATTCACAGATCTCCTCTGAAGCCATTAACCTCAGTTAAAACCTTTTCTATGAGAGCACAGCTGCAGACATGCTGTTTGCAAAAGGCCTGACATATATGCCCACTTCTTGAAACTTGTAAATTCAGAGAGAGATTACCCTTAGTTTACAGAGGTTAAGAAAATAAGGAATGGCTCTGTGGAAAAAGCAGAGATTGAGTTGAGTCCTGAAGGACAGACAGGATTTATACACACAGCTTTTGAAGGGCATTCCAGCAGTAGGAATGTGAGAGAGCAGAGAAGTGCACTGAGTATATACAGAAACTAGTTGATGTACGAGTTCTGTCATTAACTGCGAGCATATGGAGCACTTAGCCCACTGTATTACAGTTATCTGTTGATGGATCTATTTCTCCCACTAGCTAAGCATCTAGCATCAGACCGCGGTCGTAAACTGTAAAATATGCTCATTGACTGAATGTTAAAAGGTGAAGCAACAGGTTGGATACAAGAAAGCTTGTGATATCACAAGATTTTAGAACTCATGAATATTAACCGACATATTAAAATATATTATCCCAATATTTTCATTAGAGCAGTTCCTGTTAGGACCATGCCAATACTGTTATCTTAGTTTCTACAATTACTTATACTTTACGAAATTGCTCTGCCTTATAATAGTCTGTAGTCAGTCAACGCTCAAAATTCATACTGATTTCATATGTAGCTCATGTGAATTGATGTACTTAGAAACAATTTTTTTTAAGTGTTTGGAAAAATACATACAATATGCTTAGAAGAATGAGAACAATTTATAAGATATTTGGTCACGGTACACTTTTCATTTCTATTTTGACAAAAAGCAATTTATAAATGAGATGCTATAGCTTGATTGTAATTGTCAGTATTTGAAAATACTGATTGATGAGTCTGCAGAATTCACATGTGGAAAAAAAAAAGCATCAAATTATTTTTATGAGAACTACTGAAGGTAAGAGTCCTTCATCCATTGTTTAACAAAGAAAAAGAACTTGGCCAGAAGAAACAGAACTTAAAAACAAACGTCCTAGACAGCCAGCGTCCCCACGTGGCTTCCTAGCTACACATCCCAACAGACCACTTACCGTTGGGATCGAAGTGGTGCAGCTGACCCTTCTGAGCCGTCTCTGCATCAGGTCATGCTCCATACTGTTAACTTCAGCCTTCAACCGCTCTAGGACCTCTTTCTCATGTTTCAATTGCTTTGCTAACCTCTCCATCCTTGCTCGCTGATGTAACAGCAAGGCTATAGCATTACAGATAAAGTTATTGCAGAGAATAACATTGAACAAGTAACCAGAAAATTTCTATACTCATTGCTAATCAGTATAAAATCCCTGTCATCCAACTTGAGTTGGCATTTACTGTCTAATGCTATTCTGCCTCTATATCTGCTTTAATTTAGCTCTTGTAACTGCTGCCGAAATGACATCATTCTATCCATCCCTCTTGTTCTGTTGTCCTTAGTTTCCCTAAGATTCTTTTTAACTATATCTGCCTGTTTCTAACAGGTTCAACGCAAGGCATATTCAATTACAATCGTAATTACCTCCCTTCTTAGATACTAAAAGAGCACTAAATTCTCAGATATCCTGAAACAATCTGAACAGACTTTGAAAAAACTATTCTCCTTTATATTTAGTTTGTTGTAACAATGTTCTTCATTACCGATCTCACTTTTTATGATGACATTTATAAAAGTAAACCAGTAATGACCTGAAGGATATGATATTTATAAAGTAATGTATAAGTAATTTATATCCTTCAGGCCATCTTCTTCAGAAAAGATTCTAGTTTTCTCACCTAGATGAACTTTAGTCCACCATGTATGAATCTCTTTCCCACTCTGTACTTTGTATTTTTCATTCCAATTTTAGTATATGTGCTGCCGAAGCGAGCATTGTACTTTGTATTTTTTGACACTTTCATTTATATTTTTCCCCCAATAAATGTTCTTCCTTAAAAAATATGTCTTATTAGGTCACTATTACATGCTTACATTTTCATATTTTAAAAGAAAGTCTATAGATGACTCTCAAGTACTGACCCTATTCTTAATGGCAATAACTAAACAGCTAATATAAATTATTTTAAATGAGAGCCACCCCACTACAAAGATTAAATGTCATAAAAGGGCTAAAATTACCTTGGGTATAGGCATAGTCATCTGATCCAGAACTGGAACTCCTCTGATATCTATGGCTTCCCTTTTCTCCCCCAGAACCTGGTATCACTGAAATGGGCTGAATAGGTTCTGGGGCTGCAGAACGTTCTTCTTGGTCCACTAAATTTAAAAGATTTTCAGCCATTGCTCGGCCTACGGTAATTTTAAAAACTGTAGTTGGGTTTGGTATCACCAGAGGAGACGGTGATGGAGCGCATGAAGGTCCAGTTGGCTGTGTATAAGTAATATACACAGGATTAACACTAAATGGAGGTTTTGGTTGACCGGATAGCCCTCTTGAAGGAGAATTTGAAGGTGGAGTGGTGGCTGTGTACAGTGAGTGCTGATTCCGTGGAGACGGCTGATTACTGATAGGTGAAGGACTCCTATTAATTGCTGTCCCAGGTCTTTGAGAGGGTTCGACTGTAATTTCTATCTTCTTCATGGATCCTTTGGGTAAGCTAGATGTTGTGTATGGGAGATAGGCTACTGAATGGCTTCCCTGTGTCTGATAGAGAGGTCCTTGTTGATATAGATGGGGTGGAGTAGTTGAAGGGCTAGGTGGCATGAAGACGTGGGAACTCGGGTGGCCCAACTGGCAAGGCTGCATTTGATGCTGTGGAGAGCTGAAGGGTGAAGGACATTGAGAAGGAGGTGGCGAATGGTAAGCAGGTTGAGGGATCTGTTGTTGTTTGGGAGAATACTGAGAAGGTTGATAGCTCTGTTGATGTGTATAAATAGGTAAAGGACGTTGGCTATAATGAGGCACTGGGCCCTGTGGTGAGGACTGCCATGACGTATTCTGAGGAGTTTGTCTTCCTGATGAACTCTGAGATGTTGGTCTAATATAAATAGAACCAGGAGACCCATAGAGATTACTTGGAATTTGTGGAAGAATTTGTAAAGCTCTTGGTATAGTCTGTCCCGAAGGGAGGTTTTGGGATACTGTAACAGTAATTGGATTTGTACTATACCGAGGTATGTGCATGTATGAAGGAGGTGGCGGCTGTGGTGGTGAAGGCCCTTGCATAACAGAAGGATTCATTCCCGTTTGCATGGAAGATGGCTGTTGAGGTGGCTGTGAAGGAGGAGTAGCTGCACTTCTGTTCTGTTCATTCATAAAAAATGGATTGTAGTTGGGAGTAGCAGCCACAATAGCTGGAGCTGAGTGTGGTTCCTGAACTAAACATATCAGCTGTTTCCCTGCTGCATGCTGTGGATCGATATGTCCATCACTTGAGCTATGTACCAGTGTTCGGCCACCATTAAGTTGTGCTCCATCTCCTAGGTGGTAGCTACCAGGAGAATGGATACCCAGGTTAATATGCAAAAGGCGATTTCTATTCATCCTGTTGTCATCTGGACTATGGTATTCCATATACAAGTATTTGCAACTCTCCTGGGAAAGGGCTCGGCAACAGGCTTCAAGATTATTGTTATTCTAGGGGAGGAAATGGTAAAATAACGTTAGCAAAATGGAAGTCAAGCTTTGCCAGTTTTGTGCAAATATGACTGTCATATTGTCATAGAATAAGCAGAGAACACAGTATTTTAAACACAAAAAGCTTCGTGGTCATCTATCCTGAAAAGGAGGTATCTCCAGTGATTCATATTATTTTACAGACATTTAGCTCACATGACTAGTACTACTGCTACTGCTACTGCTACAGAAATGTACAGTACCTACTAATGAACATTGTGACTCAACCCCAACTTTTCTGACTCCAAATCCAGGACTCATTTTATACTTGTTGCATCTCAACAAATTAAAATGTTGGGTTAATCTTGGATTCACCACAATTGCTGCAATATACAAGTATAAGTAATAGCCATCATTAACATTTAAACTGATAAACATGAAAATAACCATGCTTTAGTTTTCAAAAGGCACTGAAACCACAAAAGCAGAAAAAAATTATATTAGAATTCCTAGTCAAAACAATAAAAATTCTAAAGCAGCCTTCACTTTTACACTATATAACTTCAACTGTCTATCATTATGAAAGATGAAGCTAAACAAGTTTAAAAAGTCTATGATTGCATGACTTTGCCAAAGTTACAGTAATATAACATAAAAGCAGGTCTAGAATGCCTTAATGAAATTCATTCACTCTCCTACAGCCTCAAGTTGTCACCCTACAAAAGGTAGGCTTGGTAAACTTTCAAAATCATTTAAGAATTTGAATTTTTGAGTTCTACACACACAAAAAGATAAATTGGCAGTAATCAAACTAATAACAGGTTCATTCTTTTAAAAATTACAAAATATAAGGTAGTTTTCCATTAAAATACAGAATTCAGAACTATTTTATTAGCCTAAAAACACTATTGGTCATCGTCTTTGAAATCACCTATTAAATTTAATTATCCTGACCTCTATAGTTCATAAATATACATACAGATGTGCACATACGTACACATGACCATATTTTTATTTTATTATATTTATTTTAAGGAAAAGTACATTTTATATAAAAAAGAAACACTACACTTCTGTGGAGAGGCAAATAAAGTTAAACCTAAAACAGGACATACAGTGCCACAGTTTTATAGATGGGAGAACTATTAGGGTTCATCCACTCCAACACAAATCAGATAAGGAAAGAGATGCCTGGGAAGTGATGTGGCTTGACAACAAGCACTTAACTAGTTAACTAGAGAGCTGTCTAGATTCTTGGTCTCCTGCCTTCCAGTGCTCTTTCCATCACAATAGGAATTTCAAGGGAGAGGATGTTAAGCCAAAAGTACATTACCATACTGAAAGCTTTAGGAAGTAAAAGAAGATTCGGTCAAGCAAACATCTGCAAAATGAATTCTCAGGAATTTAAAGAATGGGCATTATCAAAACTCCATAGATAACTTTTATCCTTTTCCTTATATAAAATTTTTGATACTCAAATAATTTAAAAATACTTTAAGCCACAGAAACAGAAATTTAAGAAGAAAATAATCAGAACTCAAATTTGTTTTTTTCTTATCTTTCTTGGAAATCATGCTGATCAAGGGAGAGAAGTTAGATATTAAACAAATTTGCCAACTAGAAAATGTCACTGATGGAAAAAAATAGTATCTCCTTCAAGTGTTTTATAAACCTATGGATTAAGGAAAGAAAACTAGTGAGTTTTATTTGAAACCTAGACCTTTTGGAAGATAGTTGACTAGGTAAAAGCAGGGTTCGTCTCCCAGGACCACATTGAAATTACAACCAAATTATAAAATAATTACCTGAAGTGGAGAATCACCTGAAGTCCAGCTAATCATAACACCTACATCTGATAATATTTGAAACCTAAAGCAGTCATGGACACGTTACTCTTTGACATTTTTATTAATGATCCTGAAATTTCATGTTTTCTACACTGAATTAGGTAGCCTAATTAGCATTGTTGCAAAAAAGATCCAAATTCAAAATGATAAAAAATTGGATTCGTCAGCCTATTTGAAATACGTCTACAGGAACAAGGTGAGTAAATTTTCCTAAGAAAAATTTTAAACCACAAATAATAAGACATTTAAGATTATCTTTACAGAAGTGTTTTTAAATACCACCAGAATAGATTCAAATGTCAATCTGACCTGCTAATGTCTTAAAAAGAAAAAAAAAAAGATTAAAAATTCATCAGACAGTAAATTTGAAAAATACTTAAAGAAATCGAAATTGTTTAAGGAGGCCAGAATTTTTAGGAAGACATTTATGAACATGAACACTTGAAAAAAACCAAGACAAAAAAAACATCATACTCCTAAAGAGTAAACCTGCAGAGAGGCTGTAAAACTTTTCTATGAAATGTAAACTACTGAGTCTTATATTTTAATGCAAACAGAGAAACCTGCCAGACCCAGTAGGTGGTAAGTTCCATACCAATAAACTCTTAATCCCAGAGGAACAAAATAAAAAACTAAGGACAGTGTAAGTTATCAACAAATGTTCATTGAGTTGAATTTACAGTTCCATTCATTCAGTTTAGTGAGATGAAGATACTAAGCCATGAAAAAAATACAGGTCATAAATAAAATAAAAAAGGTCAGAGGTAGGTGGGGCTGGCCTTAGGATAAGTGAAGAAGGTGACTGCTAGGAAGTGATTTTACACCAGAGCTTCTTATGGCTGGTTTTACTCCAGTGGGCAGAAATTCAGATCAGCAATGTGTGTTAGAAAAAAAGACAAACTATAACACTAAAATCATAAGCCCAAAGGACTAGACCTAGTAGAAGAGCTTGCAAACGAAGGAAGCACCTCTGGTACCACTTTTGTTCTGTGAGTCTCTCTACTTGTAATGAACCTCAACTGTATATAGGCTTAGGCTATATCTTGAGCTGGTCACACTGCAGTAAAGAGGAGACTGCGTATTATGCAGTAAGGTAGAGTTTGAACTGATTGTGTGAGGAGGTCCAGGAGGCCAGGACAGAAGTGCTGCTCCCAAAAGTCAACTAAATAGGGAAATGCTTTAACTCCACACACACCAAGATTCCATGAAGGATGATGCAAAAGTCAATAAAGGGCGGGCTAGGCCTATTTCTGTTGCTCCTTGAGTGGGAAGATACATTCTCTATAAGAGATGATTTATTTCAATAGAAGATAACTAAAGAAATATAAATAAAGTGGCCTTTTACTTAAAATTAGACATGTATACATAGTAAGCATTTACTAAGTAGAAAATCAGTAAGAAAGGGAGTGGACTCTACAAACTTTTAAAAATAGGCTCTAAAGTATACAATCTAAGAAGTTATAGTGATAAATTTGAGATTCAAAATTCAAATTCCAAGGATTTAGGGACTGATGACACACCCAAAACAATTTAAGTGAAATGTGAGAATTTTTCCCCCTTTTTGCTACATTTACTTTTTTCTCTAAATCAGTGGTTCTCCAGAGGGTAGATTTCACCTTCCATGGGACATTAGGCACTGTCTGGAAATATTTTTAGCTGTCACAAGTGTGGAGATGCTATTGGCATCTAGTGGGTGGAGGCCAAGGATACTGCTAAACACCCTATAATGCACAAAGCAGACCTCCACACAACAAATTATCCAGCCCAAAATGTTGACAGCACCAAGGTTGAGAAATCCTGCTCTAAACATCACCCTTTCCCTCATACACAAGAAAATTTAACCGAGTTCTAATTATCACAACACAAAGCCAGATCTAATAAGGAAAACTGTAAGTTAATTTAGTATCAGTGTGATCGGTGGATAATCTACCTGTAACATGCACTGAGACACCACACCCTCTGGAATTTCAGGGAAACGTTGTCGGAGGTCATGGAGAACCTGCATGTCAAGCTGTGGACTGCTATGCGCCATGCCAGAGCAAATGGTGGTCAAGTTTCTCTTAGGAAATGGATGCTAACCGGCCTTCCAATAGTAATAATCTTCCAACACCACAGTCATTTTCTATTAAAAGAAATTAAAGTATGGTTAAATTTAATTACATATTTCACTTGATTCAAACAGAAACTATTACTCTATTAAAATGGAGAGATCTAAAATAAGAATACCCAATTCCAAAGTTGGAAAATTGACAAATTCAACTTAACCAGACTTTTCTGATATAATATAGCCAATCACCAGTTTAGAAATAAACAAAAAAAACTTCAGTTTTATTTTAGTGCTTAAAAAAATAAACCACCAGATTAAAAATACAGAGTATTATTATTTACAACCATTTTTTTCTAGCCTTGAGAAATTCTACTTATGTATAATCACTCATGTTTTCCCAAGGTTGTCACATCACTACTCTAAAGCAGAGCAATTACTTTGATGTCCAATAATAAAATAAAGAAACAAGGACTTGATAACAACACCAATAAAAGCACACTTGTCCTGTTTGTCTTTACATTCTCCCCATACTCTGGAGCCAAAAGGTTTTAATTTGAAGTCTGAGTATAGGAAACCCAATGTCTAAATGAAACAACTGGGCAAACCAAAAGGGAAATGTAGAATCCTTTGTTTTCAAAGATGCTGGTGGACCATCACTAGCCAGATCTGCCTACCTAGGTTTTTAGTTCTGATGCCATTGGCACAGGTGCTAAGATGGCAGGATGTGGGAGTACAGTTTGAGCAGAGGAAACTGTTTGAGCAGTGGAAACTGATCCCCAATCTTACTAGCACTAATCGAGTTAAGTACTCATGTAAATAAGGCAACTAGTGCAGTATAATTAATGAAATCATAAATCAACTGACAGCATCAAGGGTTTATTAACCAATCCACTTTTTGATCCACATCTCCCATTTTTTAAAAGGGGGGAAAAACAGCATATTACCATACCATCTCATAATATTTTTGCTGTGTTTACTCACTATATGGTCAAATATTTTTAGGAATGAGAAGCAAATACCCACATCTTCACAGGATTTGTGGAAACCACGATTATTAGATACAGGTGTAAAGCACACTTAGAAGGGAGGGTCATATTTCTTGCAAATAGGTCCCAGAACTTTAAATCATATCATTACTTGGGGCAACATAGAGTACAGAGACTATTTTTAAAATAAAAGGCATTTAAGGAAAATACTGAATTACTTCCTCTGGTTTCTAATTAAGCACATAAATAAATACCATGCAATCTCTAATTTGACTTTTATATAGACACAGAATTTCATTTTGCATGCAATCTGCTGACTTTTTACTGGGCGTCTAGCTGTCTCTTTTTCCTTTCGAGCCAACATTGCCAAGAATTACGTATTCTGCATCTACAGGGTGGCCACAGAGCCCCTATGTATAAAGCTCTGCTTAACCACAGGGAAAAAGAGCTATTAGGGGCTTCTGTAATGACTTCCAACCATCAACACAGAAGATGTCTAAGGAACATGAGGGAAAAGTAAAATGTGGGTCAAGAATACAGATAACTTCCAATGTGGACATATATGGGCCTTCAGGCTACCCTGTACTATTCTGCTCCCCACAGTTCATTCCTCAGTCTGTTCTATCTGGCTCATCTCAGTGTTCCACAGAAACATTCTCTGCTGCTAAATCCAGATGATATATCTTCTGGATATATGCCCTATGCCCCTTGACCTCTGAAGCATCTGACACTACTAATTGTTGCTTCCTTTTTTTCAGCCTCTGTGACATCATACTAGCTTCATTTCTTCCCATCTCTTTTCACATTGTTTCCCTGGGTTTTGCCCTAAACTGCCTCTTCTCATTTTACTTTATTTTGCCCAGTGATCACACCCATTACTAAGGTTTCAATAACAGTTAAAGGCTGATGATTCCCAAACTGGTATCTTAAACATCATACTCTCTCCAAGACTCCAGACACAGCTAACTGCATACTACATACACAGCACCATATGGATATGCCCGAATATATCAGTATGTCCAAAAAGGAGCTCCTTATCACAACCCTTCCCCAAATGCTCTGTTCTCTTCGTGAATATGACCACTCAGTTAACAAAACTAGAAACCAGGGTGTGATCCCTGACTTCCCATTCTTGCACAACCAACTAAACATTGTGCAAACAAGGGGGTCATGGTTTGCACCCGGGTTCTGCCATTTAGTAGTCTCTAAGAAAATCTTTACCTCTGAAGCTTTATCTGTAAAACAAAAATAATAATAGGGTAGAAGAATTTAAATGGCAGTCATAAGTCAGGAAGCATTAGTTACTATTATTCAGGGCATGTCTAAATATTGTTCTCTTCAGCTTCCTGCAGCTCTCCCTGCCTGTCTTGCCTTTCTTCATGTCACAGCCAGATTGTTTTCTAAGATGCAAATCTGATCATATTTCCTATACTCTGTATCCCAACCAAAGAGAGCCATGTGTGATCCTGTGCATGGGTGTCCTGTGCCACCTTTACTCGGGGCATTAGCCCATGATCTTCTATTTGCCAGAGACACTTTTCTATCTTCCTCCCTCCTCCCTGCTTCTCTCAATATTGATCCCAGATAGATCCCATATATATCGGTATTGGTGGGACCTCCTACTGACACCAGCACCATCCCACCTTAGTCCTACTGCCATGTCTCTCCTCCTATATTGGGCTAGAGGGCCCTCTGCGATGCTACCACAGGAAAACCAAACACGTTATACTTAAGCCACCTGTGTATCTTAAGATCTCTCATACAAAACTATATAGTTCTATCTGGAATGTGCTGTTACGCCAGAGTGAGGAAGTATTCAAAAAATGATGGGAGCTTGTCATAAGGACCTGTAAGTCAGCTTGAGGAGGCTCCTACTGGCCAAATCTGTGCCAATTTGAGCACCAAAATAATTAAGGACACTAATGAATTATAGGCCTGTAGAAAAGAGGAACTCATGAGTCCATATCAATAATAATTAAATACACATATACATAAATGGAGAAAGGAGGACTTTTGCTCATAGTAGAATCCAACTAGTAAACATGCAGGGAGTGCTGGAGCTGGAAAAATCATCATTTTGCAGCCATTATCCAGACTGCTCAAGTTAAGAATCAATGGATGTTAAATCAAGGGGGAAATCTAAATTAAGAACAGGATATATAGATGATCTTAAAGTGTCTCTCCGTCTACAGCCATGTCACCCTAAACGTGCCCGATCTCATCTGATCTCGGAAGCTAAGCAGGTTCGGGCCTGGTTAGTACTTGGATGGGAGACTACCTAAAAAAACCAAGGGCGGTAGGCATTAAAAAAAAAAAAAAAGTTTCAAGGGGGAAAATTTTAACTATATTGTGGATAAATCGAACACTGTGACTGTGATCAAAATTAACATCACCAATGAGGGGCAGATGTACACCTCCAAATGTGATACCCTGAGAACATATTGCTTTATAGTATTCCAGTCAGGAATGCATAACCTGAAACTAAACATGAAGAAATAGACAAACCCAAAGTGAGAAATGTTCTGTTAAAAAAAAAAAAAAAGCAGGGGGTGGGGATGAGATGACTTCTTAAAAATGCCAATGCCATAAAAGACTAAGGCTGAAAAAATATGGATTAAAGTAGAGCCAGGACAACTAAAACCTAGACTGGATCCTATATTAAATGGGAAAAACATTATAAAAGAAATGAATGAGTCAACTGACAAAGCTAAAATGTGGATGGTACATTAGGAAAGTATTCTCTATCAATGTTAAAATGTATTGAATTTACTAAGTTTACTGACTTGAGAACTGTGCTGTGGTTATGTGAGAATATCCCTATTTTTAGGAATCTGGCAATGAAGCATTTAGGGGTAAAGGGCATGATGCACGTAACTTACTCCCAAATGATTCAGGGAAAAAATATATATCATGAACATACATGTGCATAGAGAGAAGCAACAAACTGCAAAGCAAATGGGGAAAAAATGTTAAGAATAGGTGAATCTGGGTAAAGGGTATACAGTGTTCTTTCTACTTTTTTTATTCTTGCAACAGAATTTTGCAAACTCTCTAAGTTTGGAATTACTTCCAAATAAAATGTCAAAACGAAAAGCAAACAGAAAGCCTATAGTTCTATTAGGGGCTATGCCTTGTTCAGCACATTTCCAGAGCCTGACCTAGTACCTGCTCAGATGTTTGTTAAATAACAAAGAATCAGTTTTACTGTACTAAAACGAACTAGCTAATAAAATAAAATATATGTGTATATATATAGATGAACCATACCCCCTATCCCCTGCACACTTTTATTGGGCAGGCAGGGATCACCCATGTGGAACGATTTGTGAATGCTTAGGGAAAAAGAAAAACAGGTTAGGCTACTCAATCAATGGGTATATTTTTCTAGTTTGCCCCTTTAAAAACACCCAAATCTGAAATGCTGAGAATCTACCAGATTAACAATCTGGGCTTTAATTTAAAATGTGAAAACTCCTTAGTGTTCATTTAACTTTTTATCTGAAGCAGAGTTTGAATTATCTACCTTTTCGACCAAAACAAACACGATCTGCCATTTTACTAGTCACGGGAGTCCTAACAAGATGAGTTACCTTGCCAGAACACTCAAGCTCTAAGGCAGCACTGCCCAATAAAAATTCAAGTCACTTAAACTGTTCTAGTAGCCACAATAAGAAAGGTTAGAAAAAGGTGAAATTTTAACATATTTCATTTAACCCAATATATTAAAAATACTATTGTTTCAACATACAATCAATATAAACATCATTTACCCCAATATTCCTCAGTAACTTTCCTGAGGTCATAAAGCTCTCAGTTGCAGAGCTGGAACTCAAAACCCGTGTGTGTGATTCTAAAATATGTGCTTCTTCTACTATGTTCTGCATAAGTATATGTGCTGACCGATACAAATTTTATGAAAATGGAAAATTTTTGTCACAAAGAAACCTTTCAGTTCTGACCAAATGCTTTATTTTCTGATTAATATCCTACATATAATATACCCTTGTGGTATGCATGTTCCTAAATTTAAAAGGAAATTACAAAATGCTTCAGATTTGTGTATGTATCTCAAGCAAATTTTTCCAGTAT